GCTTCCTTTCGCACATCCTTTTCGTCGGGTCCGATGTCGCTCTTGCGTAACGATTACGCGCGGAGCGGTAACGGGCTGCCGTTCGTCCGCCACGAATTCATTCATGAAAGTCTAATGATGAATGATAAACGATCGATGCATATTGAAAAAAAAAACTTTTCAAAACACGCACACTTCAATTTCTTTAAATACAGCGTTCGACAATTTCGCATAATTAAAACAAAAATGGTAGCGCAAGTACGCGGACAGTCCGCGTTTCGTCAGTGTAAAAGAAGTTTCATTTTCATGATCGCACAGTTCGTCTTCCTGCATTTCTAAACCTTTCATGCACCTAATTGACGAACACTGTAACGACTTAATTGCGACTCACACAGTTCCGCAAGAAAAGATAATTACAAGATGCACCGAGTCTCCGAAAGGACTTCTCTTACATTGACCCCTTCAATTAATTCCCCGCTTCGTCTCTTATTATATTCCCCCGCTTAGACGTGGTTACATACGTGAAAGCGCACACATTGTTCCTTGAATGCGCAGCACACACGGTGCGGTTATTTATATGCATGCGCGAAGCGAGCGTGCGTTTCTTCGCACGTCGCTGTACGATGATAATAATGCACCTCGTTGACCGCACACGCATAGACGCGTGAATTTCAGGATGCGAGAGCGAGTGTTTTTTTCAGAGAAATAACGTTTTAAAAAAGAGTTGAAGAGTATCGTCTCTGCGACGTAGAGGAAAAATATATTTTCTCACGCCGCATTTATCGAAATAAAATTTAAATTTTGTGACACGCGAGTAATTATGATTATTAATCGGATGAGCAGTTTTGAGTTTCTATATGTTCAATTTTTCTAAAAAAAAAAATGGAATAAAGTGTGGTATATTTTTTTACGTCGAAGATTTCTGATGCCAGTGAGTCGATGTTACTCGCGCGGCCTCTGCGATTTCGCGGGCGAATGCAAAACTTCGTAAATCCGGCCGTAACCTCGAGGAAACGGAGACACGCCTCGGTAGTTCACTCGCCACGTCCACGAAACTTAAAATCTGACAGACGATACGCATTTTGGAGAACGCACAGGAAAATATCTGCGTAATAATACACATGTTATTCCATGTTTTCGGAAAATTGATATGAAAATCAGATTTCATATCTGCAGATGCAAAATTCTCGTTTACTTCATAAGAGAACAAAAATAAAATCTTTTAAACGCGATATTTCGCGATTATTCTCAAAACAGGATTTTAGATTTTATTTGTTTTCTCCGATTCGGAGTTTCTAGCGTCACATTTAGCGAAACGATCGATTGATAGCCGACTCATTGCAAGGGATTGAATTGTACATTTCTTCCTTCCTGCCGAATGAGGGATTCGGTCCAGCATCTGTCCGCGTCGACTCGACCTCGTGCGTGTCGGCGGAATCGCCCGGATCGCGCGCGCAGATGCGTTTCCTTATAGGGATTCCCAGAGCGGCGTGGATGTCAGCGGCAGCGCGGCGCAGCGACCCGTATGCATATAACATAATGTAAAATAGCGGAAGCAAGGCGGATGGCAGGAAGTCGGTGAGACTGGCGCGTGCGCAATTCTCTCCCTCGCCCTTCGTGAAAATGTAGAAGACGGAGGGAGAGCATTTTAGTGGTGTATTGTCGGCTCGGATTACTCTGCGCGGCTCTCGAAGGAGAGAAGGGCTGCGATAGACGACGGATCGTCCAACGGTTGCTAACTCTCCCCCGCGGCTCTCGATTTTCTCTCGATGCAGCTGATCCCGCGATTTCAGCTCTCATCTCGAATTTCCAAATGCAAACCTAATCTCTTAACGGTCAACAACGTCGTTCGTTACCGCTAGAAATTCGTCACTTTCGAATTTATTCGAATATTTGTCGTTAATATTTATATATTCATTAATATTTAACATCCATCATTATTTAAATATCACGTAACACATACTCGCGTTGATATCCGCAAATAAAAAATATAAGCGTCGGATATTACAGCCTGACGTAATGAGATTACGTTATCTGCCTAATTACGATTTATAACTTTCTTCAACTGGCCTGGCGTGCGTGGTGTCAAATAATGAAACACAACGACCGGCGAGGCGGCCTGGAGTCTCCGCTACCTTGAGCAAGGAAGCGGAGATACGCTTGGCAACCCCTAGGCGGAATTGACTCTCGCGTCGAACCGGCAATGCGTCTGAAAGCAGTCCGTTCGGGTACGATAAATTTGGAGTATTACGCACTATCTCTCGTAAAAAGTGTGCATGCAACGCTTTTCCACGCTAATGTTTCAGTCCCATTCACAACTCGGCATCTGCTTCATTCGAAAGTTACGTTTCCAGAGAAGCGGCGAACCGATTCATTCAAAATTCAAGACAATGAAAGAAGCGCGATGCGATTTCTCTCTTTCATATGAAATTACTTTTACAAATTGATGCTACGATCGATAAAACGAAGAGAATGGGAGAAGTAATTATTGGGCGATATTGAATGAGAAATAAAAATCACGTGTTAAACATTTATAGATTTCGACGCGACATTTCGTCGCTCGACACGCCCGACGACATTACAGACATTAAAGCACAATATGCTTTGACGCGCTGGGCGCTTTTAGAGGCTCGGCACTGAAGACACGGGTCTCTCTAGATCAAGTTGACCCCATTGTACCACAATCATTTCATTATCACTCAATTTGCCGGCGCACGATCATGTACGTGTACGTGACGTTATAAAGAAAGTACGTTGCTTAATGTCATTGAGTGTCGCTAGGAAAGCAGGAATGACCATCCAAGTGTTTTATTTCTGTCATTCTTCGATAGGTAAGTCCTATTTCAAGATAATCATTAATTTAAAAATAACTTTTTTACAATATTAACAAAAGTATGTTATAAAGATCAATTTTAATATTTACGAGATGTTTACTATTTCTGCAAAATGTCAATTATTTCGCATTAGCAATTCAGAATCAATATCGATCTATCGAATGTCCGCATGAAATACCGGCAAGAGAAACGCAATGAACTCTAAAAACAGCGAGTAGGCGTAATGAACAATCGCGGTGTTTTATTTGCGGTACAATCGAACGCGGCAGCTGCATACGGGCGTTATCTTCTGCCGCGTAATGATTCTTCAGCTGTCACCATACCGTTCGAGACGAGACGACGAAATGCTCGGTTTCTCGCAGACAATACCTAAGTACACCTGTCCTGCGACGACGTCAGGAAATTATCGGTGCTACGTAGTAACGCCTGAAGGGAGGAAGTATATCGTCCTTTATATCGCTCGTACGATTTCTTTATCCAACGTTCGCTGATAAATCGGGATGAATATCCGACGAATCGGCGCCAGCATTTAAAACGAGATCGTAAATATTTGCGCGAACTGATAAGAGAGCGGCGTCTCTCCCTTCGCGTCACGTTATCTCGGAACTGAAGATTTCGAAGAAGATATCGCGCTTAAAAGCGCGCTGTAAATTAGGTGAGCGCTAAATAAACGCGCAGAGCGTTCGTTTGACGAGCGGCGTAAAAAAAAGCGGCGAGTGCGCCAGCACTCAAAGTGCACCGATGGCGGTTTGTCGAGCGAATTTAAAAGGCGCTCACACAAATTAGAGTAAGTAAGCCGGGAGAAAAGCGCGCGAGAT